AAAAAAGGTATTTCAACAAAAAATGGAGTCGTAAGAAAAATAAGAAGCAATTCACTTCGGTTACAATGCTTTACGATTTTGTGTAGTCTGCATTATTCATTAAATTTTGTAGTTTTAATAGTTTGAATTTATTTGTAAAAAATGGAACATCTTTGAAAATGGGTTCAAAGTTTGAATTTGCAAATATGTATGGTCGTGTATTCATTAAGGGAGAGAGTTCCCAATGGAAAGCTGAAATTTGTAAGTTTTGTATCGTTTTCTATTACGAGACTAATGCTAGACTAGTAATACACTGGATTAAGCTCAACTATTTTTTGTTTAGCGTAGAATTATACAGCCATGCAAAATTGGAATTCTGAAGTGTTACTAACTATTTCCAGGTAGGTAGGTAGTAATTTTAAAGTACTAATTGCTTTTCAATTCTTTTTAATTGATTATCTAGTCCACAGTCTAATATACTGACTGACTACGGACTAGTCTTATTATTCTAGTGTAAGAACTAGTCTATGAAATAGTGTGTGGACGAATTTTTTGATAGTCAACGCATTAGTCTATAAATTATTATATTGACTAGTTTATTTAATAGTCTATGTACTAGTCTAGTTCATTAAATAGTCTGCTGACGGTTCTATTGACTAATCTATGGATTACTGTAAAGATTAGTCTACACTAATCTCTTGGATGGTCTATGCACTCCTATTCTGCATTTCAATTCGAATCGAAATTTTTTCCGTTTTACAACTTTGATATTCTGCATTTAGATTCGACAACTTGCACACAATCGTAAAGCATTGAAACGAAGTGGAATTGCTTCTTATTTTTTACGATTCAGTTTTTGAATGAATGCGTAAACGTAATCGAAATGCAGAATAGGGGTAATTAATATGTTTATGAACCAGCCAATTGATTAGTCTATATAAGATAATCTACTAACTTGCCTATGGACTATTAAGCAAAAGTTTATAACATAAAAACGAGCGTCATAGGAGAAAATTTTTAAAAGCTTGAGTTGCCGTAGCTGATATTTGGCAGTCTTGAGTGCTGATGACAATGCAATATTATGTTTGAATATGGAAGTAATATTTTCAAATTTGTTTTAGCTCTTTTCTAAAGGAGGTCTAATTGTCGTGAAAACGATTCGTTCGAATTACTAGCAGAAAAACACTAATTACTACATACATAAATATCGTCACCGGAAACGCAAACGGCCCTAACTAACGAAAAATTTAAAAGCGATTTTATTGTTGATTACAAATGTCCACACAAAAAATTGGGCTCCTCCGACCAAAATTAGCGATTTTATTGACAAAAAACAAAAGGCCCTATCTACAAAAACATTTAAATATTAATGGTAAAAAAAGTCCAATTTATCCATTTCTATATACGCCATTGTCAACTATCATAACAAATGATAAGTTTCACTATTAAACCATTTGTTTATTTACTACAAATAAATCGCGTTGATAGAAACAAACTTTTCAATTTCAATCAATAGTTTTTTGCTTCTCCTGTAAAATTTTAAAAATGTTAGATAGGGCCGTTTGCGTTTTAGGTGACGATATATTCCTTTGAGTTGTGAGTATTTTGTTCATTCATAAAACAAAGACTGAATCAGAAACAGTACTTGAAAAAAATCGAGTGTTTTTATGATGTTGTTAAAGTCATATATTTTGTTCATAAGTTACACAAACCAACTAATTTTGAACCCAGAAATCAATCTATACTTTTGCAAATTATTGAACTGAGCAAAATCTGAATCTGTTTCGAGTAAACGTGACTTTAAGATAAGTTACTAAGGAAGAAAGAATGTATAATAGAGGTTAAACCGGTATTTTGGAGTTGACTTGGATTAGACTTTCAGATGATACAAAAAAATTTTATAAATAATGTAGTATTTGCACAAATAAGGCCAAAAACTAGTAAGTGTAAATTCTAAAATAACTTAGAACTATTAATTTTGTTTTATTATCTTCATTCAGTACTTTTCTTTTACTAAAAAGGTGTAACTGGAAGGAAGATTTAATTTCAATCAAAATATTTTTGTTGTTTTTTTTTTTCAAATATACCAAAACAGCGATTACCAATTGCTAAAGAAAAACATATAGAAAAACAGTAACAATTTTTTTATTTTTATGAATAGAAAAATATAAAAAACATAAATTCCATAGTAATAACAGAGGTGTTGCCGTACTTAGACAGATTAAAGGGAATTAGGCAGAATTAGTACAAAAAATAACAAGAAATACATAGTTTAGTAAAATAAGCTAAATTAAAACAGCAATATTTTTATTTTTACTACGTACATCTGTACATTAGGATGGCCCCGTTTGTATGGAGAAAAATAAGAAACTGATCAAAGGATAAAAAGGTCCTTTTATTAAGGTTTTCTAATATTTCACTCAAATTTATAGTCTAGTCTATAGTTTAGTCTATAGTTTAGTCTATAGTTTAGTCTAGTCTAGTCTATAGTCTAGTCTATAGTCTAGTCTATAGTCTAGTCTAGTCTAGTCTATAGTCTAGTCTATAGTCTAGTCTATAGTCTAGTCTATAGTCTTAGTCTATAGTCTAGTCTATAGTCTAGTCTATAGTCTAGTCTATAGTCTAGTCTATAGTCTAGTCTATAGTTTAGTCTATAGTCTAGTCTATAGTCTAGTCTATAGTCTAGTCTATAGTTTAGTCTATAGTCTAGTCTATAGTCTAGTCTATAGTCTAGTCTATAGTCTAGTCTATAGTCTAGTCTATAGTTTAGTCTAGTCTAGTCTATGTCAGTATAGTCTAGTCTATAGTTTAGTCTATAGTCTAGTCTATAGTCTAGTCTATAGTCTAGTCTATAGTCTAGTCTATAGTCTAGTCTATAGTCTAGTCTATAGTCTAGTCTATAGTCTAGTCTATAGTCTAGTCTATAGTCTAGTCTATAGTCTAGTCTATAGTCTAGTCTATAGTCTAGTCTATAGTCTAGTCTATAGTCTAGTCTATAGTCTAGTCTATAGTCTAGTCCATAGTCTAGTCTATAGTCTAGTCTATAGTCTAGTCTATAGTCTAGTCTATAGTCTAGTATAGTCTAGTCTATAGTCTAGTCTATAGTCTAGTTTATAGTCTAGTCTATAGTCTAGTCTATAGTCTAGTTTATAGTCTAGTCTATAGTCAAGTCTATAGTCTAGACTATAGACTAGACTATAGACTAGACTATAGACTAGTCTATAGTCTAGTCTATAGTCTAGTCTATAGTCTAGTCTATAGTCTAGTCTATAGTCTAGTCTAGTCTAGTCTATAGTCTAGTCTATAGTCTAGTCTAGTCTATAGTCTAGTCTAGTCTAGTCTAGTCTATAGTCTAGTCTATAGTCTAGTCTAGTAGTCTATAGTCTAGTCTAGTCTATAGTCTAGTCTATAGTCTAGTCTATAGTCTAGTCTATAGTCTAGTCTATAGTCTAGTCTATAGTCTAGTCTATAGTCTAGTCTATAGTCTAGTCTATAGTCTAGTCTATAGTCTAGTCTATAGTCTAGTCTATAGTCTAGTCTATAGTCTAGTCTATAGTCTAGTCTATAGTCTAGTCTATAGTCTAGTCTATCGTATAGTCTATAGTCTAGTCTATAGTATAGTCTATAGTCTAGTCTATAGTCTAGGTCTATAGTCTAGTCTATAGTCTAGTCTATAGTCTAGTCTATAGTCTAGTCTATAGTCTAGTCTATAGTCTAGTCTATAGTCTAGTCTATAGTCTAGTCTAGTCTATAGTCTAGTCTATAGTCTAGTCTAGTCTATAGTCTAGTCTATAGTCTAGTCTATAGTCTAGTCTATAGTCTAGTCTATAGTCTAGTCTATAGTCTAGTCTATAGTTTAGTCTATAGTCTAGTCTATAGTCTAGTCTATAGTCTAGTCTATAGTCAAGTCTATAGTCTAGTCTATAGTCTAGTCTATAGTCTAGTCTATAGTCTAGTCTATAGTCTAGTCTATAGTCTAGTCTATAGTATAGTCTATAGTCTAGTCTATAGTCTAGTCTATAGTCTAGTCTATAGTCTAGTCTATAGTCTAGTCTATAGTCTAGTCTATAGTCTAGTCTATAGTCTAGTCTATAGTCTAGTCTATAGTCTAGTCTATAGTCTAGTCTATAGTCTAGTCTATAGTCTAGTCTATAGTCTAGTCTATAGTCTAGTCTATAGTCTAGTCTATAGTCTAGTCTATAGTCTAGTCTAGTCTAGTCTATAGTCTAGTCTATAGTTTAGTCTATAGTTTAGTCTATAGTTTAATCTATAGTTTAGTCTATAGTTTAGTCTATAGTTTAGTCTATAGTTTAGTCTATAGTTTAGTCTATAGTCTAGTTTAATGAATTTTATTTTTTGGAGGAATCATTAGCAACTTACATTTTGGTGCCACCTTTATAGGCATACATACATACATATGTATATTTCCTTATATATGTAACATACAATTTGCTATTTTGTGTTAAATTTATTGCAAGCAGGAAATCTTGTGTATAAAAACTGACTAAATCTTGTAATTCTGCCCATAAGTACGGAAACATAGTAAAAATATATGTATATAAATAAAGATATAAGCAAAATAAATTAATTATTTTATAAATAACTAATATTTTAACAAAAGCAGACAAATATTTATGAAAAAAGAATATTTGTTAACAGTTGAAGAAATAAATGAAATTGATTTTAAAACTTGAATAATTAGTTTTTAAACATACGTATTTGTTTTATATAATAATAATAATAATAAGAATAATAATAATAGTAATAATTATAATAATTTTAATAATAATTGTTGTGTATATGCTTAAGTACATAAATAAGTATTTTTGTTTTGCAAACACGTACAAATTTAATATACTTTTCTTCGTGTTTTATTTTATCTTTTTATATATGGTGTGTCTTCTGTGTATTGTTGTTTTTGTATACATTTATATATAAAAAAAGAAACGTTGTTGTACGCAATGAGGTATTAAATTTGAAATAAGATATAATATTTTTACATATATATATATTATTAATTTATAATTAAATGTCATAATTATTATCATAACCTTTATGTTCTATTATCATATTTTTTTTTTGATTTTCAAATTTCGTTTAGTTTTAATTTTCTTTTTTGGTTGCATCTAAAAGTATATATATATTTTTGTTGTTTTCAAATCAAAAAATAAATCACATATTTTTTTCTAACTTAGAAAAGAAAACAGGAAGTTCTAGTTTTAAACGATTGCTTGGTATTTTTTAGGTTTTACTTGTAAAAAAGAGAAAAAAGTTAGGACGAGTGGTTATAGGGGTTGTTTTGGTTATAGTATTAATAGTAAATATATTAAATAATTAAAGACAAAATACGAAGACTTTTGTTTCATTTTAATTAACACACTAACTTTAAAAATTTAAATTAATTTAATTTAATAGTTTAGTTGTTATACTAATATAGCTAGTAGTAGTTATATTTCAAAAACTATACGTATAATAAGGGATTATTAATTTAGTTTAGTTTAGGAGGGGAAGGTTTCTTTAAGTTTGAAGTGCATAACTGGTTGTTGTTCGGCTTAAAGTTTGTTTGTTTTGCTCGTTTTTCTTTTCTATTAAGCAAACCTTATAAAATATTTGTTAAAAACTTTTAACAGCAATATGGTCTGCTGTTAAATTGGCTCCTGTTATTTTGAATTGGTATTATTGTGCTTTAGATCTGTTTTGGGCAACAGCGGTGTAGTGACCACATCATTATTATTTACCTTTTCCCCATTATTATGTCTATCGTTATGATGTTCAATGGTATTGTAATCAATAGCAGCCGCTTCGGAAGTCATAAGACTACTTAGCGATACTACATCATTATTACTGCCCTGTGAATTGTGTTGGGTAGTGGCAGCGGCTATACTTCGACTTTGCTGTGAAAAGTCCTATTTAGAAATTGTTGTTAGATTTATATAAAAATTAAAAAGCGGAATATTGAATTATTAACTTACATTAAATGAAGGTGACGCTGTATTACTGCCAACGACTGTTGAAGTTTTGCGTATACTTTGGCTACCGCGTATATGATTCGGTCGTTCATCATCGTGTAATGAGTGTAACAACTGTAAAAAGAAATATTTAATTAAATTTTAAATGAAACTAATACTTTAGTTGAAAGAATTATAATTGAAGCTAGAACTGAAGTAGAACTGAACTAGAACTAAACTAGAACTAGAACTGAACTAGAACTGAACTAGAACAGAACTAGAACTGAGCTAGAACTGAGCTAGAACTGAACTAGAACTGAACTAGAACTGAACTAGAACTGAACTAGAACTGAACTAGAACTGAACTAGAACTGAACTAGAACTGAACTAGAACTGAACTAGAACTGAACTAGAACTGAACTAGAACTGAACTAGAACTGAACTAGAACTGAACTAGAACTGAACTAGAACTGAACTAGAACTGAACTAGAACTGAACTAGGACTGAACTAGGACTGAACTATAACTAAACTATAACTGAAGTAGAACTGAACTAGAACTGAACTGAACTAGAACTGAACAAGAACTGAACTAGAACAGAACTAGAACTGAACTAGAACTGAACTAGAACTGAACTAAAACTGAACTAGAACTGAACTAGAACTGAACTAGAACTGAACTAGAGCTGAACTAGAACTGAACTAGAACTGAACTAGAACTGAACTAGAACTGAACTAGAACTGAACTAGAACTGAACTAGAACTGAACTAGAACTGAACTAGAACTGAACTAGAACTGAACTAGAACTGAACTAGAACTGAACTAGAACTGAACTAGAACTGAACTAGAACTGAACTAGAACTGAACTAGAACTGAACTAGAACTGAACTAGAACTGAACTAGAACTGAACTAGAACTGAACTGGAACTGAACTAGGACTAAACTATAACTGAACTATAACTGAACTAGAACTGAACTAGAACTGAACTAGAACTGAACTAGAACTGAACTAGAACTGAACTAGAACTGAACTAGAACTGAACTAGAACTGAACTAGAACTGAACTAGAACTGAACTAGAACTGAACTAGAACTGAACTAGAACTGAACTAGAACTGAACTAGAATTGAACTTGTCGACGGTATGCCGATCGGAATAATTATTTAGTTATCTTTAAAATATGTTTTAAATAAAACAATTCATTTTTATTAATATACCATCTAAATTGATTTGAAATCTTGAATTTTTGAATCATTTTCTTTTCAAATATTAAGTAACTTGAACACTGAACTTTCCATATTTTCAAAATTTTTGTACTTCCTCCGAAGTTTCAAAAGAATTTCTTAATCAATTTTTATAAGCTACAAAATATAAAAATGAAAATTATGCAAGTTTGTTTGCAAATATTTAAAACTATAATAATACTTTATAAAAGAAGAAGATAAAAACTAACCTTTTCTACTTCATCGTCAATATCAACACTATTGGGTTCAGTGCCAGCTTTACGGGTTTTCTCCAGTAAAGTAGCCTTTTTGGCAGTCAAATATAAACTACGCTTAATGGCTATATAAACAAGATCGCAAACAGCGCGTACTGAATAATCAGGAATAAAAGTTTGACGAGTTTTAGAGTCTAAATTTAAAGACTGTAAGGAACCCATTTGTGAGGGAGAATCTAGAGAACAAAGGAAAATTTAAAGAAATAGAATGTAAAATGGTTTAAGAAGAAATTAAAAACTTACCCACAACCACATTGGGTATTAAAGCTTGAGTACCAAAATAGGTGAAAGGGCCACTTTCGAAGAGTAGACTTTCTTTGCCTACCGTCACTTCAACACGACCCTCCAAGATAAGTACAAAGAAATCGACAGGTTTACCCTGTGTGAATATGAAAAGACTAGGATCATCTTTCTCTTTACCCTTACATTTTATACTGTGAACAATATCTTGATTAAGTAAACGTCGCAAGATTTGCTCGGATATAACTTCTTTTTTAAAAGCATCAATAGCTGCAAATAAAAGGAAAGCAATATTATTTTTATTATTATATCGAAACATATTGACGTCATCATACTTACAAGTACTTAAGTACTGATAAGTGGCTAAAGTTAATTGAGGTGATATATGTATAGTTTGATTTTCACGACGTTCAGCGAATACAGTAAAATCTTGTTTCTTATTACGATTACGTTTAACCTTAGTGCGATTATCTACAAAAACATCTGTTTCATCGACAATTTCCGCTTGAATCAATTCCTCGATTACATCTTCTAGTGTTACTAAACCTATAGTCTCATAGAATGGATCACCATCACCCTCATTGTTAACACGATGGACAAAGGCCAAATGTCCAATAGTACCATCTTTGAATTGATTAAACATTACATCGAGCGTATAATCTTCGAAGACAAAATGTACGGGATTTTGATAGAATTCACACAATGTTCGCAGGGGTGTATTATCGTCGGGATCAACAAATGCCAAGTCTTTGATATACAACAGAGTAACAATATTTTTACGATCACCTTCGTAAACGGGTATACGAGAGAAACCAGATTTCATAATTTCAGAAACCGTTTCAAAATCTAATGTAGCATCTAGGGGCAGCATAAAGGCATCATCGATATGTGTCATAACATCGGCAACAGTCTTTTTGCGCAGTTCCAAGGCACCAGATATAATGTTGACTTCGTTCTTATCCAAGTCATTAATGCCAGTAGTGACCTAAGAGAAAAGTTAGAATTATTTTTTCACCAGACCAATTAAGCCACACCAAGTTTTAACAAAATAAAACTTACCTTAACCAATTCCTTAAGGCGTTCCCGATTATAAACATTACCAATTTCTTCGCCCAATAGAACGTCCAAAATTTTCGATGTCGGATATGAGAGGGGAAATGTTATAATCATAATCATTTTCGTAATTAAAATAGTTTTTGCACCCACCGCTAAACCATGGCGCGAACAAATAGCCTAGAGTAACGTTTCAAATGGAATAATAAATTCGAAAATGTAATCATTACAATGCAATAAGGTGAAAGTAATAAATATAAAATGTCAAATAACCTGTGGTGTAATTTCACCAAAAATAACGATAGCGATTGTAGAGAACACCACAGCAATTAGACCAGAAGTTAAGCCATCCAAGAGAATGGTAAAAGTTGAGTTAACCAACACATTACCCAACAGTATACTGCACAACAGGTAATTACCTTGATCCCTAACGGGTTGGATTTTCTTAGCATATTCACGTTCCTTATCGGAGCCGGTATTACGTAAAATCTTTAATAAAACAAAGAAATCATAAAACATTTTTTTACTTTATTCAAGTATTAACCCACCTTTAGTTCTGTACGATCTAAAGCCATGAGACCCAAATTCAAACCCGAAAATAAAGCCGAAAAACATAAACACACCAATATGATAATAATGGACACCCATAGTGGTAGAAAACTTTCATGACTGCGTATAATACACCAGGAATCGGTACACTGATATTGCAGTGTTATAGGTTCTCCTTTTGCACCTTCCTTAAATTCATTTGGATCGATTTTTGCACACAAATAAAAATCTTTTTTCGATTTTGGCAATGATCCCTCATAGAGGCCAGTATGCTCATTAGCCGTACCAGGTACTATTTTGTATAGCAGTGTGGCTGGAAATTGACAATGTGTACCGGCTTCATTGGGTTCGTTGGTAAAGGCTATTAAGGTGTCTTCAGTGATGCCTTTACCAAAAATTCGTATCGTAAATGGTGTTTCACTCATAACACTGGGTATACCATTATCATATTCTACCTCATGGGTACTCGATTCTAATCTAAAGCCGGTAATAATCAAAGGATTTACCTGGCGATAAGTAATACTGAAATAAAAGAGAGAGTAAGAGTGATATGTTTTAGTTATGAGAGAGAAATATGCATTTAATATTATAAGAGAATAATGAGTTTATTGGAAAGATGTAACGCCAAGCAGAGCATAAGGTCATTGTATAAGATAACGCATTCCTGATCACAATTCATTACAATCAGATAATAAAAGTCTTTCCTATGGTTCGATCAATTATCGTTGAAAATAATCGAAAAGTGATCGATGATTTGCTGGACTCCTCTTATATTTGCAAAGTTCAAATCTATGAATATTTAATAGTGATTGATCAAACAGATAAAGTTACAACTTGTCTAAATATAAAATTGAAATTAAAATAAAAAATCAAATACAATTTCGTTACTAATTAAAAGCCGCCAAAAAAAGTAATAACATATCGCTACAATTGAAAATTTTATTTATAATATTGAAAATTCCTTATAAAACCCAAAATCTATTTAATTTACTAACATCTAATGCTCTTATCTATAACTGCCACAAAACCCTTCAAAAACTTTAATCTATTGCTATTATTTCGGTTGCTATAGCTACGTGTTTATTACGGGTATTATTCCTACTACATATAGAGCAATATTTTTACTAGTTTGTTTATTAACGTTTTCCTTCGTTTGAAGCTAAAAATTAAAATCATATTTTTTATAAGTCTATTCGAACGTCATAAAAACGTCATTGAAATTTAGCACGTTCTGATAGAATATTGATATGAGATTTATTTTCTATTTTTCTTTGTTCAACTCGGATTATTGTGTGCGGAATTTTTGTGTGCGGTTGAAAAAGATTTGTTGCTATAATAACACATTTATTTTTATTATATTCTTAATTATTGTAGAGTGTTTAAAATTAGGTTGTTTAAATAGTAATACAAATTGTCCTCATCTTTGTGAGAATGAATGAATAATGGACATTTAATCTTGTTGCAAATTGATGGTTAAGTAAACAGGAAAATAAGGAAATAAACTAAATAAATAAATAAATACATATTAATTCAAGTATTTAATAATAATCAACAAATATTTGTTACAAATTAATGAAGAATTTATTTGTATGTACAAATATTGTATGAAATGGGAATAATTTCAATTACATTTATACGTTGATGACCAGAATTATAAAAAAAACAAGAACAGAGCAATAAAAAGAACTAGAACAGAACATGAAGTTATCTATAATGAAAATAGAACTGAACAGGAACTAACCAAGAACTAATGTAGAAAAAACTAGTACCAAACAAGAACTGAAACTGAACTAGAACTTAACTAGTTAGAACTGAACTAAACTAGAACTGAACTAGAACTAAACTAAAACTGAACTAGAACTGAACTAGAACTGAACTAGAACTGAACTAGAACTGAACTAGAACTGAACTAGAACTGAACTAGAACTGAACTAGAACTGAACTAGAACTGAACTAGAACTGAACTAGAACTGAACTAGAACTGAACTAGAACTGAATTAGAACTGAATTAGAACTGAACTAGAACTGAACTAGAACTGAACTAGAACTGAACTAGAACTGAACTAGAACTGAACTAGAACTGAACTAGAACTGAACTAGAACTGAACTAGAACTGAACTAGAACTGAACTAGAACTGAACTAGAACTAGAACTGAACTAGAACTGAACTAAGATGAACTAGAACTGAACTAGAACTGAACTAGAACTGAACTAGAACTGAACTAGAACTGAACTAGAACTGAACTAGAACTGAACTAGAACTGAACTAGAACTGAACTAGAACTGAACTAGAACTGAACTAGAACTGAACTAGAACTGAACTGAACTAGAACTGAACTAGAACTGAACCAGAACTGAACTAGAACTGAACTAGAACTGAACTAGAACTGAACTAGAACTGAACTAGAACTGAACTAGAACTGAACTAGAACTGAACTAGAACTGAACTAGAACTGAACTAGAACTGAACTAGAACTGAACTAGAACTGAACTAGAACTGAACTAGAACTGAACTAGAACTGAACTAGAACTGAACTAGAACTGAACTAGAACTGAACTAGAACTGAACTAGAACTGAACTAGAACTGAACTAGAACTGAACTAGAACTGAACTAGAACTGAACTAGAACTGAACTAGAACTGAACTGAACTAGAACTGAACTAGAACTGAACTAGAACTGAACTGAACTAGAACTGAACTAGAACTGAACTAGAACTGAACTAGAACTGAACTGAACTAGAACTGAACTAGAACTGAACTGAACTAGAACTGAACTAGAACTGAACTAGAACTGAACTAGAACTGAACTAGAACTGAACTAGAACTGAACTAGAACTGAACTAGAACTGAACTAGAACTGAATTAGAACTGAACTAGAACTGAACTAGAACTGAACTAGAACTGAAGTAGAACTGAACTAGAACTGAACTAGAACTGAACTAGAACTGAACTAGAACTGAACTAGAACTGAACTAGAACTGAACTAGAACTGAACTAGAACTGAACTAGAACTGAACTAGAACTGAACTAGAACTGAACTAGAACTGAATTAGAACTGAACTAGAACTGAACTGAACTAGAACTGAACTAGAACTGAACTAGAACTGAACTAGAACTGAACTAGAACTGAACTAGAACTGAACTGAACTAGAACTGAACTAGAACTGAACTAGAACTGAACTAGAACTGAACTAGAACTGAACTAGAACTGAACTAGAACTGAACTAGAACTGAACTAGAACTGAACTAGAACTGAACTAGAACTGAACTAGAACTGAACTAGAACTGAACTAGAACTGAACTAGAACTGAACTAGAACTAGAACTGAACTAGAACTGAACCAGAACTGAACTAGAACTGAACAAGAACTGAACTAGAACTGAACAAGAACTGAACTAGAACTAACTTGAACTGAACTAGAACCTAACTACAACTGAACTATACAAATGTTGGAAAAAGTGAAAGATAAAATATAGCACACATCATGAACACCCTTAATTTATTATTTATTATGTAATTTTGTAAGCAACTTTAAAAAGACGATAAATTTTGATGATCTTGCATGGTGTGCCATTGTTGTACATCGTACATAATAAGAAAATTAATATTATAATAAAAAACTACAAACAAATTGTTTTATGATTTATTAGTAAATTGTGTAATAGGTTTGTTTGGCTACAATTGGTATTAATTGTCTTTAATATTTTTGTGGACAATTTTCAATTTATTTTGTAATGAACTCGAGAGGTTTGTATGCCAGAATAACAAATGAAAATATTGAAAATATGTATGCTTAATAAATACAAAATACTTGTCATATAAACAATTAAATATAGTTGTTAGTCAAATTTAATAATTAAAAAAAATAATAATTAATAAAACCATTCCAATGCGAAATTATTAAAAATAGAAATACAAATTTGACAATTGAGAGTTGCGAATTAGTATCAATTATTAAGAAATTTTATAATCAACTACATATCAATGAGTAATTGTTAATATGTATTTAATTCGTGTAACAATATAATGGAATAGTAAAAGCAAAATTTAGACTGGAAAAGAACTGTAAACATTTTCCAGGAAAAGCTCACTAGTCATAGATATAACTACGGCAAACAAAATCCATTATAAGATAAATTAAAATACTCTAAAAGTCAGCTGACTAATACAATAGTATTCAGAGACAATTTTGTTATCATAATCTATAGAACAATTTTTTTGACGTACATAATTATAATAATTTAGTTCGTTTTGTTACTGTTAACACACATTTTAAAATGAATAATTTATGATTACTAGAATAATTTTTATACCCACCATCAAAAAAGATGGGGGGTATATTGTTTTTGTCATTCCGTTTGTAACACATTGAAATATTCGTCTAAGACCCATAAAAGTATATTTATTCTGGGTCATTATTAGATTCTAAGACGATCTAGCCATGTCCGTCCGTCTGTCTGTCTGTTGAAAACACGATAGAGTCCAAATGGAAGTAGCTAGCGAGCTGAAATTTTGCACAGATACTTCTAGTTGATGCAGTTTGTTTGGTACTGGGCAATATCGATCTACAATTTCGCCTAGCCCCCATATAAGGCCCCCTTCAGAAAATGACTTTATCGCCCATAATTGGCTAAGAGAAACATTAATAGCGATGAAATTCGGCACAAACATGTTTTATGGGAACCTAAATTTCTTGGTAAAATTTTATAAGAATAGGCCCATAATTAACCCTACCCCCCATATAAAGTTCCCTTCAGGAAATGACTTTATCGCCCACAACTGGATAAGAGAAGCATCAATAGCGGTGAAATTAGGCACAAACATGTTTTATCAGAACCTAAATCTCTTTGTACAATTTTATAAGGATAGGCCCATAATTGACCCTACCCCCCATATAAAGTCCCCTACAGAAAATGACTTTATCGCCCATAACTGGCTAAGAAAGGCATCAATAGCGGTGAAATTCGGCACAAACATGTTTAATGAGAACTTAAATCTCTTTGTAAAATTTTATAAGGATAGGTCCATAATTGACCCTACCCCCCATATAAAGTCTCCTTCAGAAAATGACTTTTTCGCCCATAACTGGCTAAGAGAAGCATCAATAGCGGTAAAATTTGGCACAAACATGTTTTATGGGAACATAAATCTCTTCGTGGAATTTTATAAGGATCAGTTCATAATTGACCCTACCCGCCATTTAAGGTTGCCTTCAGAAAATGATTTTAATGCTCATATCTGACCTTGAGAAACATATATACATATATATAGCAATAAAATTCGACATAAAAAAGTTTTATAGGAACTAAAATAGTTTTCTTAAATTTTATGAGGATGAGTCCATAATTGACCCTACCCCCCATATAAGGTCCCCTTCAGAAAATGACTATTAGGCTCATTACTGACTCAAAAATGTGAGTACAGCAGTAAAATTCTACATAAACAAGATTGGTGCGAGCCAAAAGTACATTATGAAATTTTATAAGGATCGATCCTTAATTAACCCTATCCCCCTTGTAAG